CACCAAGGGGTGAGTTTTCAGGTCGTTGTCGCTCATTCTCCTCTTAGCCCTGATCTCCCCGGTGCTGGTTCCGATCCTGAACAAGTTGATTCCTTTGGGCTCAGACAGGTGATAAGAAAGCAGCGCGTTGTATCCAGAATCTGCGTCCACAGCCCTGATCTTTGCTACAAAGTAGCCCACTTCAGCAGAATAGGGGATGGTCTCACTATTAACAGAACCGAGCTCAGAATAAGGAGCCAGGATAGTTGGACTGTTGTCATTCTCATCCAGGATAAAGACATTTACAGTCACGTTGCTGCTGAGTGGAGGAACACCAGAGTCTGTGGCCTGAACTTTAAACTGAAATGTTTTTAACTCCTCATAGTTAAAACTCTGCAGACTGAATATATCTCCTGTCTCTGAAATAATTTTCACTGGTGACAATGAAGATGTTTTCTGATTATTCATTTGCAACAACGAATAGCTCACCTCACCATGTTTTTCTGTATCAGCATCTGCTGCAGACACAGTTTTGACCGTCTCTCCTATTGGACTGTTCTCTCGCACATACACATTAATTATTGGTTCAGAGAACCGAGGTGGGTTGTCGTTGACGTCAGAAACCATCACATGAACTATGTTAGTGCTGGACAGAGATGGAGTTCCTTCATCAGATGCCACTACAGTAACATTGTATTCAGCCACAGTCTCTCTGTCAAGCGGACCATTAACAACTAATGAGTAATAGTTTTTATAGTTTGGTTCCAGTTTGAAGGGGCTCTCATTTGCAATAACAACTTTTGCTGCCCCGTTTTTGCCTCCATCTCTGTCCAGCACAGACACAAGAGCTATAGCTGTTCCTACAGATGCGTCTTCTTTAACATTGCTCAGCAGTGACGTCACAATAATCTCGGGGGCGTTGTCATTCAGGTCCACCACCTCCACCAGCACTTTACAGTGAGCTGACATTGGAGGCTGGCCTCTGTCACTGGCCTGAGCGTGAATCTCAAAAGCAGGGTTTTCTTCATAGTCAACATTATTTTTGATTAGAATTGCACCTGTTTTAGAGTCAATTTGAAACAAATCTAAAACATGATCCTGACCTTTGCTTCTTAATGAATATTCTATTTCTGAATTAACACCTTCATCAGCATCAAGTGCAGTTAAAACTATCACTGTGCTTCCTATTGATAAATTCTCAGATATGCTTGCTTTGTACAATGAGCTACCAAATATCGGGGCATTGTCATTGTTATCTAAAACATTAATAACAATTTGTGACGTCCCTGACCTGGGCGGGTTTCCCCCATCAACTGCAGTGAGTGTAAGCTTTATTTTAGCGTCTTTTTCTCGGTCCAAACTCTTTTGCAGCACGAGTTCAGCAGACACACTCCCCCCTCCTTTGTGCGTCTCGAGCGCAAAATATTCATTGGGACTGAGCCTGTATGTCCTGACACTATTCCTCCCGACGTCAACATCCAAGGCACCTATAAATCCAAACTTCCCTCCAGGCGCTGTGCTTTCTGCTATATTAAGAGTCTGCAGTTTCTCCGGGAAATATGGTGCGTTGTCATTTATATCCAGGACGTTAATTTCTAACCGGTAGAGCTTCAGCGGACTGTTGATCACGGCCTCGACAATAACAGAGCACGTCGCAGCCTTTTCACAAAGCTCCTCTCGATCGATCCTTTCATTGACGTAAAGACTTCCGGTTTTCAGATTGATGTCGAAATATATCCTCTTTGATCCGCTGACAAGCTGAAACGCACGGGCTTCTAGGTCGTGCACGTTGAGATTGAGATCTTTGGCGAGATTTCCTACAAATGTACCCGGGTTTACCTCCTCTGATACAGAGTAAGAGAGCTGTCCACATACCAGGTTCCTGCAGCAAATTATAATAACCAGAAAAAATGCCCCGAAGGATCCTCGTATTCGTCCCGTCGGCATAATGCTATCCAATTATTAAACGAACCGTATAGGTGGTAAAAGCCATAAAAGCTTGATTAGATCCGGACGAGGAGTAAAATAAATAATCTGAACAAAAGACTTTTAGAGACGAATGGAGAAGAGATGACTCGTACTCTCCTCTTCTGCGACTCTATATAACAAAGAACGCAGAGTACATCCCACTTTGAGCTTAGGAGGGGCGTCCAGCAAGAAACTGAACATCTCCATATGACGGTCTAGTGTGTCCCCGTGTGGACATTTGCAATAACTGCAATCACTACCAGAAAAAAATAAAAATGAGCAGGCCTAGCTCATTCATTGAGTGAAAAAAAATGAGAACAAGAGCTTTACAAGCAAAAAATATATTTTTTTGTGCCCTCCCTTATCTCAGTAACCATACAAATATATATATAAAATAAATATATATTATTTTTAAAAAAATATCAAAGGCTATCTAATACAAAACTTTTTTAAAAAAGCGATACACAATCACAGTTCATGAAAAAAGTAGCTGATGAGTAGAGGATTTATCACTTGTCAGACCGCAAAAACACTGCTTTCAGCTTATTTCAGCACCTTGGATAGCGACAAACATGGAGATCTTTGATTTTGAGACGCTATGCAATAGTTTTGCATTGATAAAAACACAAAAACACAGGAAAAAACAGAAAAAATAAAATAAAAAAATGCTAATAACATCTTAATTTTAATTAAAACAAAGTACAGCTATAGTCATGAAAGGAATATTACAGACAATAAAGGACTTGAATTAAATCTTACCTTGTCAGAGTTAGGTAAAGTCTGAGTTCTGGTAAAAGTGTCTCCTCCATTAATA